CCAACCCTAACTATTCTACGATTCTATGATGATAAGACAAACAGGCACGTCATTGTCACTTGGAATTTTTACAGGAATGATAGTGTTGCATAGGATATTGGGAGATGTCACTTCTTAAAGATGATACGGGCTGCATTTTCTGAGTACAAACTAAGTGCTTTAAGCTAAAGTCCCCAAAGTTAAAGTTAACGAATATGTTGGTACGTTCAGATTGCGATTCTGTTTTCTTACTGTGACAATGGATAAATCAAACCCAGAAAATTAACAAAAACATCTACCCTCAAAAATCTTATTTCTTACTTTGTCACAGCATTTTTAAAATATGCTTTAAATACAAATTCTGTTTATTTTATACCTGCTCCTCTTGTTTAAGAGAAGAGAGTATTTTTGGCTGCTAATATCTAAAATGGCTGTGCTGATGCCCAGGATGTCCTTTTATCTCCCTTATTCACATCTGAAGCTCTAAAAGATGCTTTAGCTTGTGATGAAAATCTGGGGCAACAGTTAGACTAAGTATTATTTTATTTTTACAAGCCTGGGGGTGGTTGGCCAGTCATGAAGATCCGAATTTTCCATATTTTTGATAACATTTAAAGATAGCTAGGAAGTTTCTAGGGAATCAAGAGGATACATTTGATTAATAAAGAAGGTCTTAATAAATTAAGACTCCTGTATTAGAGGAAACAAGGTGAAAAAATGGCTTTTTAGGAATTTTATAATCCCAGGTTTGAAAAGCACAGTAAAAAGTGACTGTGGACAACATGGTGACGTGCGGAGATTATTAGTTATGAAACTGATGGATATTCCAGAAAGTTTTAGTAATACAAGAGAATTAAAGGTGGCTAGTGGTAAGGCTTGCAGGGAGGTATGGCTTCTTCCATTTGGTGTGTATCAGGCAGTGTTCTTCTTGCTGTGTATTAATATACTTTAAACTATGTCTTTGTACTTTGATGGTTGTTAACAGCCAGCATCCATCCTGATATACTGATGCTTGATCTTGATCTAGGATCTAACTATTGCTTTGGTTGATCACATTGGGCTCCTTTTTCCTACAAGGTGACATAAAAACTCAAAATGAAAAGTATGCAGACATGTTTTTGCAGGGATCTTTCTCAATGATTGTGCATTTGGAAAGCTCATGAAAATTTATCTTCCTGCTGCATAGATGCAATTCCTTTCAGACCTGTGACTTCTACAATCATTTGGGGAATGCTTGCTATGATATTTCAGTACTGCTACTGCAACTAGAGGTCAAGGAGCTCCTTTAAAAAGTACTTTCTGTCTTTTCAAAAGAACATTTTTCAGATGTTCAAGATTTCATTTTAGTTAAATATCAGCCCTCAAGGATTTCTTAACACTAAAAAGAAAAATATTCTTGAAATACGTAGCCACTCAGGCATGAAAAAAGAAAGAAAAATAACTTAATATTGAAACTATACTTATTATTTATGTAGAGAATTAGTAGAGTGGCATATTCAAGGACAAGTAGAAACTGAAGGGTACTATCTCACAGGCAGGAAAAGGAAGCTGAAGGTGGCTGACCATTTGCTAAGAACCTCAGTTTAAGTGAATAACCAAATAATATGTTCTCACATGCACAGGAGAACACGGACAGAAAAAGTAGAATCCAGGAAGAGAGTCATCCAAAGAAGTAGAAAATATCAGGTTATGATGTATGTTGCTCTGCAGCATGATAGTCCTCTCATGATGAGGTGGGCAACGGCCACTGAAAACTTGCTCAGTAAGGCTAATGGAATGATTAACAAGCACTGAAGGCAATAGTGTGTTTTACAGGAAGATATAATCTATACATACGCATCTGTAACCTCAAAGCAGGACCGACTCTGTTAGGAAGAAGGCCAGCCTAGACAGCTTGCTGACCTCAGATGTAAAAATCTTTGTGTTTACAGTAAGAAGGCATAAGAAAGGATCATGAAAGTATGTTTCAGGTTTTGCTGTCTTATCAGTTTTGAACACTAGAATTCATCTGCTCACACCCCAGCTGCAATTGCAATGCTAGCACAGAGCTATGGTGAAGTGGAACAGCTTGTCAGAACAGCAGAAGAGCAAAAGCTGATTTGAGCAGTGAACCATGCACATACTTAATTCCAAAATTGAACTTGGAAGTTGTGTCAAAAAAGGACTATCTTCTTGCCTTAAAATCTGTCAGATGATGGAAAACATGACAATGGTATCCTGAAATCACAGGTAATCGTTCAGAAGGAATTGTCTAAACATGAAGTCTAAGATGGACTGCTTGGGATGGAGTTGTCTACAGATAGCTCTTGTACTTCATCAAAACCCACCATTTTACTTTAAGACAACTGCATACAGTATTAGTATTGTAGTACTCATTTTTCCTGTGGTATTTTGCAGCATCCGTAAGATAGAGCGCAATATGTTTTATAGGTATACTGGAAAATCTGTTCGAACTAAACAGAGTTAAGACTATGTTCTATGTACCTTATCCATTTGCTTGCTTTCAGAGGTCTTAAATTCAGTAATTTTCTCATCTTAAAGGAGCACAGAGGTACAGTGAAGAAACTTTAATAAAAATTGGGGGGCACTTACTTCCCCTGCTACATAGTAAACCCCTTATTTTAAACATATGCATTTATCGTAAGGTATGTGCACATGACACATTCTCCAAAATCCACCAAATTCACCCTTGCTGAAAAGAGACCAACTCTGATAAAACAGAACCATCTTCATAGCATAGTTCAAAATAATCCAAGTTATCCCACAGATTTTGCAGACTTAAACCAGTTCACTTTCCCACAGAAAATCATATTCAGTTTTAATTATATCAGCAGTAATGCTGCAACATAATATATCAAAGTACAGTTCTGGGATCAATATGTATTCTAAGAAAACTTTTCCCTTTCTTACTTGGTGAGTTTAGAGGAACTTTAAAAGTCCTGAGTTTCACGATGATCCTGAAATACAAAAAAGATTGCTCTACTGCTAAATGTAGACTCAGCAGAAAAGAAGGAAATATGTCTGACTGCCATTACTCTATATTTTAAAATGCAATTACACTAGGCACACAAATTGGACTGTAGTTACGGATCTCCAGGAGGCATGTGACTTTCACTCAAATCATGCTCCCAAATACTTTGGTGTCAGCATTCGACAACTGTGATGAAAAACAATGTCAAGACAGGTAGGTCTGTGGTACTGTTACCACAGCCTGAAAAAGTGAGTAGAATTGCCACTAGGAACTGATGTGAAATTCCTCAGATTTCTGAGAAGAGCTTTTCTGCAGGACTGTATTTACAGGATTGTATCATGAGCCATTTTCCATTGCACACAAACGTAAAATGATTTTTAACTTGTGACTCACATCATCTGATTCCCTGATGAGCTCTGTATCTTCTACTTGCACCACTGCATCAGCACCACATGGAATTGGAGCACCAGTTGTAACGCGCATTACTTGACCAGGCATCACAGTCTGAGTTGGCTGAAAAATAAAAAAACCCCAAAAATCTCAAACCATTTGAACTTTATGAAAGTAATCTGAAAGACTAAAGTTCTTATTTCTGGTGTGGTTTTCAATATACTGCTAGTCATATCAACAGGTATAAACTTTAATGTATTTAAAGATCATTAGGTCATTCAGATCTGACTTCTTTTATATTTTCAGGTATTAGGTGGCTTCACATTTTCCCCCTTTCTATCACAAGAACAACTTTCATAAGCAGCAATATACTGGTACTCTGGTTGGCTCAGAAAAAAAACTGGCTCAGAAATATAACAGATGGTGACCTTCTAGAAACCTACACGAGCAAAAACCAAGTAGTTCTCCGTACATAAATATTTTGCAGAGTACTCTGGTCCTCAGGGTTGAAATTTCTTTGCTTTAGTTTGGTTGTATTCTCATTCTGTTTTACCAGCACACTTGTAAAACCCCAGCAGCTCATAAGTAATGTAACCAGCTGGTTCATTTTGGAGCAGATTTCCTCATACTGAGAGACAGTTCAACACCATGAAAATAATGAATTAAGCCAACATCTTTCTCAAAAACTTCTTCCATTGTATTGCCCCACACGATAATGACACCAATGTATTGCAGGTGTTCTGGAGCCTGCCCCTGTTCCAGTGCAGTCTGGACCAATCCATGGCAGATGGTAGGGCTGTGTTTCCGCCCCTGGGGCAGTCGGTTCCAAGTGTACTGGACACCCCTCCAAGTAAAAGCGAACTGTGGCCTGCACTTTGCTGCCAAAGGGATTGAGAAAAATGCATTGGCAATATCAATGGTGGCATACCACCTGGCTGCCTTTGCCTCCAGTTCATACTGAAGTTCTAGCATGTCTGGTACAGCAGCACTCAATGGTGGTGTGACTTCATTCAGGCCACGATAGTCTACTTGTTAGTCTCCACACTCCATTCGACTTTTGCACTGGCCATATGGGGCTATTAAAGGGTGAGTGGGTCCTGCTGATCACTCCTTGGATCTCCAGTCTATGGATCAGCTTATGGATGGGAATCAGAGAGTTTCTATTGGTGTGATATTGCCGTCGGCGCACTGCTGCAGTTGTGATTGGCACTTGTTGTTCAGCAAGTCCACAACAGAAGGATCCTCTGAGAGACCAGGCAAGGTAGACAGCTATCTTTGTAAGGGTGACTTTAGCAAAGCCAAAAATTGATAATATTCTAAAATTATGTAAAGTCACAGTACATTACAAAGTTTCAGCAGAAGTAATACAAAGAATAGAAAAAATATCAGAACATTGTAAGACAAATGACATGGTTTTAATAAAATTCTCACCAGGCAGCATATTTTAATACACATTTTTCAAAATCCAGAGTAAAATTTGGCCATATTTGATCATAAGAACTTAAGAAATAAATACATATAAGAAAATCTTTCTAAAAAAGAAGCTGGTATGGTGATTGAGATTTCATTGCTGGAATATGAATGCTTGCTCCCTGCAGTACTTTAGTAAGCTCAACTTGTTTAGGCATTACTGCTACTAGTGAACATGTGCTACATGCAGATCTACAAAGCTGTGATCAGACCAACATATTCTGTACATGTCACACGTATAATTCATGTGCAGATTGACTCTATATTCCATATGCAGCACTGGAGTTTGTCCAGGACTTCTCAAACTGCAACTAGCACATATCTGATAGCAACCCACGGACCTGCAGTACTGCCTGCAGTCATTTACTCCATGACTTGTGACAGGAGGCTGTTAGACATTTGCAAATTCTAGACCAGTGACCAACATTTCGGCTACACAAAGCTGTGATTGCCTTTCCCCTTCTTCTACTCCATTTTAGCACTGTCATAACATCTGAATTAGGAGTATTACTTTGAAATGTGTGTATTTCAAAAGCTGCTGACTGGGACGAAAGCCCCAGGGTAAGGAGCCCCAGGAAGAGATTAGAAATAGCTTGTATCTGGTTTACCATAGTATCACAGTAACCTATGTATCCCAAGAAAGAACTGAGCCTTGAGCTGATTGAATCTTGACCCTTTTCTGTGGGTAACAGAAATGTAACATCCTTTGGGAAGAACATAAATAAAATCCTAACTAAAAAAACCCAAATAATTCACATTTGACAAATGTCACTGTCACTGTGCTTTTAGGGCAAGATTCATTTTACCTAAAGTATGCATCTAAACCAGATGACACTAAAATAAGACTTTTTTAAAAAATGGTACTTCTCACCACAGACAATGTAAGGAGCTGTGGATGAGCAGCTGAAATACTGCCAATAACTGAAGATATTTAAAGGTGAAAATAAGATAATCTTGTCTAGTGTGTTATTTTGATTTTTATGGAAAAAAATAATTGCAAAAGGGAAATCTTATGCCTTGGATTATGGGAGCTCTTTCGCTTATTGTTGTAGGTACAGTCTACAGGTACATTATAAAAAGGTAAAATTGTTTTGGACTTACTGATGACTTTAGTGACAATTTTCAGCATATGTTGTATAAAAATATTCTCCCATTTAAAATGCATTTTTTGGGCCTCAAGAACCACAAGAAATACAAAATGTCGACAATTCTGCCAGAAATCAGTGCCTATGGTGATAAAATGTGCAGTAACTACTCATGCTCTTGGAGTTTATTACTAGATGAGTTAATTTTTTTGAGATGTAATGATGTGAAACATTTAAACAAATTTATGATACAGTAAGAACTGCTTTTAGAATTGGTTGTGTTGCTCATATATTTAATTTCCTTTTTTTTTCCTTTGAGAATTTGATCAGATTAACTTTATGAACAAAAGTCAACCATCAGATTTGTGTGTGAATCTCCAGAGCTGTGTTCTTTTGTGCTAGAGACTATGAAGATAAATAAATGATTGCTTCTCAGAAAGCATATTAATGTATAACAATTTCACAGAAGCTCTTTTAAAGGCCTCTGAGGTCTCATGCTTACCTGGAATAGGGATTTTATTGGATTCTGTCTCTTGCCTTCATCACTTATAATCTATTTAATCTCAGTCACTGAACAAAAACCAGACATAATCTACGGAGCACAGCCCCCATCTGACATTTTCTCTCGCACATATCACACCTCTCCTGTGTGATTTCCACTGACCCATGCTCCTTTCTTTAAATAGACCAAAGTTAATAGGAGGCCTGTTTCCATCCTATATTACATCTGATTAGTCACAGTGGCCCTTACAAACATCTTTAGAAAGTCTTCCACGAAATGCTAAACTCCAGCTACATACATCTTTAGGAAGACAACCACTGCTCCCTGTGGTTGAGTTTTTCACACAGAGGCCATGTGGATGGCTCATGAGTAGTACTCTCAAATGTGCCCTAGCCTCTCCAAAGCAGGACAGTGTCTGAAAGGTTTCCTCAATACAAAATAAAAAGTGGTTGTTAACATAAACACAGCCACCTGGAAATGGAAATCAGAAAATAATACACAATTTACAAACTGATAGAGAAATGTGCAACTTGCCTATACGACCTCTCTGCAATTCTCAGTCCCATTTTCTTCCTCTCTATTATGTAGCATTTACATAACCTTTTGCCCTACAGGAGGAGCCAAATCTAAACCCATTTTGAACTCCCTGCTGTGAATCATTCTGTTAATTGGTCTGTAATATAAAAAGCAGAATGTTGCTGCTGAGAGTGACTGAAGGGTGAAATGAGACTGAGGAGCCTTCCAAGGCTATAAATAATTTCTTGGGAAGGAGATGAACCTGAAGTTGTGTTGGCTCAAGAAAAAAACGACCAATTATTCAGAGGTCAACAGCCTCATTTTTCTAACTTGCCGATGGTATTTTCAGAATTATTCTCTCTCTGCAAGCCTCCTCCCACCCAGTTTTTGTTCCTTGCCAGAGAGGCTTCCTATTCCCAGTAATCTGGGAGGACAGACTGTCCCTGTAGAGAACCATTTGTGAACTCCTGAATTTTGAAGGAGGGAAGCAACATCCCATTTGCCCTTTTATCCTCTGTACAAACCTGCTGTCCGCTGTACAAACCGGCTGAACTCATTAGGATTTGAAACCTTTAAGTCTGTGCGCAGTCTTCCCCATTAGACACAGCTTCAACAGCCCTGTTTTTTAGCACCGCTGTGCTGTTATATTTTCTAACTAGCAAAATGATAATATTGATGACAGCTGAATAATGATAGGAGTGGTAATTCAGCAGGTTACTCTGTTGGTTCTTGCTATTTTATAGTGACTATGAAGGGAGTTGTAGAAATAGTCATCAGCCTTTTGGATTCCAGACTAATGCTTAGAAATGCAGACAGAAGGGCTAAAAATCCAAGGCACGTAAAAACCTGTGAAATTCATTAGTTTACTTTTTTTAGCATTTAAAGTAATTTTACGTATTTTGTGTAACATATTAATTAATCTATGTTCACATGAATATCAGTATTGAGAAGATGTCTATTATACCAAAGTATAATTCATAATGATGGATGGGAACTACAGCAAGAATAATTTTCACAGTTCTGTGTATCTATCATGATTAGCCAAAATAAATATCTAATACACAGTTAGAGACAGTTCAACTCCATTTTTTAAAAAATTGAATAATCCTGTAACTTTTAATACTTCTAAAACCTGAAACAACTTTTAAAATACATCTATTTTACTTGGAGTTTTTTGTTTAATAGTCAAAATAGCCACACTATAAAATCCTCATTAAAACTGACCGATTCTTCGTTTTTTCCTGTTATTTTTTCCCTTTCTCCATCATTTCATATACAATATACAGAATTATAAGCTGGGACTTGAAATAGCTGGAGAAATATTTTGGACTAACTCATGCTCTCCTGAACAGAAGATAGCATGTATAATTAAATTGACAGAGTAATAAAAGTGGCTGAACATAACTGATACTTTTTTTTTGCTATTACCCCAGTATTAATACAGCAATTTAATGAAATGTACTCTTGAGTTTGAAAGCAAATCACAAATTGTGTCTATTCATGAATATTTATATAGCACAGCAGGTCATGAATGGATGCTGCTCCAACTTGCTCTTAAACTCAATCCATGAATGTGCTAAGGTGCACAAACGCTCTTAATTTAACAAGCAAAATACCACAGCAATATCACAAACCTGGCTCCTGACTGGCTTCCAAAAGTTTGTTCTGATAATTATCTTTTTTTACAGGCTTCATACAGAATTCTTACACTTTCTTTTGTAGGGATCAGTGTGAAGTATGTGAGCATCTTCTGGAAACAGTTATTGGGATGATGCCCCTTTAAAAATCTGTCAGCAATAGGGTTTAAATAATGCTTTTCTCTGTGTATGAATTGTAATGTCACTAGAAACCTTATGTCCTCTAACATTGCACTAGGGCAAAAAATTACTGTATACACTCCAATCAGACATGCCAGCACAATGCTTGGAAGTATTTTGGGATATCCTTGTTAGTTCCTTATGTAATCGTACTACCTCCCTTTCTGAAATTATGTCCCAAGGCACATAGCAGGAGAGTAGGTACAGCTGTGTCCTACTTCATGCCACCTCCAAGAATACTGAGTTATTGGAGCACTAGCAAGGCTTGTAAAAACTACTACGCAGTATATTATGAAAAAAAAGTGCATTAAAAAAAAAAACAAAAAGAAAAAAAGAAGAAATTGTGCTCACCTGCTCACCAGCCTGGGATTCCCCTATGATGAATCGATCTCCTGGGCCATCAGCAGCTGTTAAGATGAACAATACAAATGGTAAAGGCTGAACCAAACAAACAATGGCATTAGAAATTAAGAGCAGGAGAACCAAAGAATGATCTAAGACTCAGTTCTTCAGTGTCAGCATTGGCAAGCAATTCACATTTTAGGTCCTTTTAAGTTGTGCTTATTCTTTTGAAAATTACATGTTCTATAATACTTTTAAGTGAACATAAGGGATCAAGTAACAGCTGATTAGGAGGTGTTACATTAATAACAAATAATTAAGAGAGCTCATGAGATTATTTTTGTAAACATGGCCACCATGAACAAATCTTTTTCTTTGTGAAACTAACACAGAGATATCACATATTTTGTAAATACTGATATTTCTAGATTCTATCTCTGCCTTTGGAGGAAAATGTGGACAAATGCAATGGTTACAGACTGCGTAGATGACCTTACAGGCTTCGCATTTTCTGAAAAGCAATAGGGCTTAAGACAGTGCAACTTGGACTGCCACATTAGAAGTCTTGAGTTGTGCTTCTTTTTGTAATGTTAGGAGTTAGCACCGAACTAGTTACCTTACACCTTTCACTGAAGCCATTCTGAAAATTAAAAGTCAGAGATGATTGATTTAACAAACTGAAAGTCTCCAGGACTTCTAATTTAGCCAAATCTGTACTTTCACAGGAACAACAAACGCACCATTATTAAAAAAGTTCAAGCTTCTGCCTGCCTCGAAGCTCTTTTGGCAAGTTGCACTAGTGGTATTACACGCCTTTTACTGTGGTGTAAAGCATGTATGGAGCACAAGCAACTTCCCTGTCCAAGGACAGCAGGCATGCTGCCAAGAGTGTTCAGACAAACCGGGTTCATATGATCATATTTCAATATGTCTTCTTATTAATTTTAAATCTGAAACTGTCAAAAGTTGGTTTTCCAGAGATGAAGTCTAACCAGTGACAAACTTTACCTTAGTATCTTCTAGTTTATTTCAAAAGCCCTTAATATACAGTCAGATAACCATATCATACTGAGAAGAATTTCTTTCAGGAACCATAGAATAGTTAGGGTTGGAAAGGACCTTAAGATCATCTAGTTCCAATCCTCCTGACATGGGCAGAGACCCCTCACACTAGACTATGTCACCCAAGGCCCTGTCCAACCTGCCAGGGATAAAGCATTCAAAACTTCCTTGGGCAATCTGTTCCAGTGCCTCACCACCCCCATGGTAAAGAACTTCTTCCTCATATCTAACCTAAACTTCCTTTGTCTAAGTCTGAATCTATTATCCCTTATCCTGTTGCTACAGTTGCTGGTGAAAAGTCCCTCCCCAACATGCTTGTAGGCCCCCTTCAGACACTGGAAGGCTGCTATGAGGTCTCCACGCAGCCTTCTTTTCTCCAGGCTGAACAGCCCCAACTTTCTCAGCCTGTCTTCATACAGGAGGTGCTCCATCATCCTTGTGGCCCTCCTCTCGACTTGCTCCAACAGCTCCATGTCCTTCTTATGTTGAGGACACCAGAACTGCCCATTCAGTCTACATAACAATTTATCACATTCGTACTCATACATCAACTGCAACTCTGCAGATGAGGATCTCTGGTACTTAGTCAAGTTTTAACTTAAATTTAAAACCCTGCAAAACAGCCTAATCCATGAGCTTTAGAACAAACCCTAAAACAAAAAAAGTGGAGAAGGACTCTTCAACCACTTGTCCTTGAATAATGCATATAATGCTACTGAATACAGTTGTCAGACCTTCCCTGAAAAAAATACCCTGGGATGATCCAGCAAAAGAAGAGAAAAAAGTTCCCTAACAGCTGAATTATTTTAGGCCTGGTAAAATGCTACTGAATTAGATTTTATTCCCTGATTAATAATGATATGGAGAAAAAGTTTATAGGTGGTGAGCAACTGATATATCTTGTAAGAAGTGGAACAGGTTTTGGCAGACAGTTTTATGTGACTGAAAGCTAAGCCTTCATTTTTTTTGTCAAAAATATCCATTAATGTAGTCAATATTATCTCTGTCTACAAGCTTTGTTTCTCATATCTTGAGATAACAGCTTTAATAGAATAGAATAGAATAGAACAGAACAGAACAGAGCAGAGTATTTCAGTTGGAAGAGACCTACAGTCACCATTTAGTTCAACTGCCTGACCAATTCAAGGCTGACCAAAAGTTAAAGCAAATTAAGGGCATTGTCCAAATGCATCTTAAACACTGACAGGCTTGAGGCATTGACCACTTCTCTAGGAAGCCTATTCCAGTGTTTGATCACCCTCTCAGTAAAGAAATGCTTCCTAATGTCCAGTCTAAACCTCCCCTTGCACAGCTTTGAACCATTCCTACACGTGCCACCACTGGATCCCAGGGAGAAGAGATCAGCACTTCCCTCTCCAGTTCCCTTCTTCAGGAATATGTAGAAAGCAATGAGGTCACCCCTCAGTCTCCTTTCCTCCAAGCTAGACAAACCCAAAGTCCTTAGCCGCTCCTCAAAGGACATGCCTTCCAGCTCTTTCACCAGCTTTGGTGTCTTCCTCTGGATGCATTCAAGTACCTTACTGTTACTCTATTTGAATCCACCACCAAAATTAGGGTCTTCTGTGCTGGTTCTGACAGAAGTTGTTGAAGATGGCAATCGTGATCACTCTGCTTATTCTGTCTATTTACTGAGATTGTACTTGTGCTTTCCCTTACTTTGTAGCAATCATTGCCAGATAGCATTTACCTGATCCCAAAGCCTTTGTCAGTCAGCATTCTACTCAGAGCTTCCTCTCTTAGCTTTTCTTAGCTTTTTATTACCTGAATTTTTTTCTGGCTACATCTGCTCCCTTGCTGCTATTACTGGTCACTTTGGTCTGCCTGTCTCTCACACACAGAGATAACAGACAGCTGGAGTCAAAGTCATCTTGTTGACCTGGATTTTTATTTTGATATCAAATCCATAGGGAATCTATTGGATTACATCCATTGCCTGGGTTTGCAGACAGTCTATTTCATGGACAGTTGTCTTCCACTGTTTCAGCAGCCAGTAATAAAAAAGGTATTTTAATGTCCCTAGAAGAAAGTTTGCCATCGTGTTCAAATTTAAACACGGTATTATGATGATTCAACCCCTACCACAATGAAATCACTAATGGTATAATGTTCAATCATGTATATATTAATTCTCCTCCATAAATATCTGAGGTGAATATCGTTAGTCTTACTTTACAAAGGGAATAACTGATGCACAGAGAAGCAAGTTATTCAAAATCATGCAGCTTCTAGTGGCAAAGCGAGAATGGATTCAGGTCTCCTGGGAAACCACTCACTGCTTGCTCCATAAAGTCACACTACTAATTTTATTTATATACAGGAACTGCAATATTTTTAAAGTAAAAATGACTTCTTCTTTTGAGGTGCCTCCATAAGAATACAGTATTTTTGAAAATCCTCTAATTCAATCACACAATAATTCATAAATAGAAAGCTGGACCTCTGCCCGTTCAACTGTAAGAAATTCCTGATCAAATCAAAACCAGATGAAGAGAAGAAGAATCTGTCATCCAGAAACAGATGTTCTGTTACTCCACTGAATTCTTTATATTTCCAAGAACCTCACTGTAAACACAGGTGCAAGTCCATGAGCACACGTTGATATACATTTATGCACGTACATATATATACACTTAACAGATCTGAATTCAACTTTATGGTCTTCCTTCAAGACAGTTGCCTTGTACATAATGAGCAATGATCTGAATAAAATGTCAACCAAAATAACCATTGTTGGATCCAAAACAGGTGAACTAGCACGTTCTAAAGTGGTTTTACAGACACTATACTGCATGCTTACAAAGCGAGAGTTTACCTCTGACAGCGTAGCCATCTTTTACTGATGCTGGAAATGGCGGTAGATTATCTTTTGCATATACATCTTGTGCAAGGACCCGGCCCATCCCATCTAGAAAAGAGAAATAAAGAGAAAAGAACACGCTCCATATCATTATGGCTAGAGAAAGGGAAAAGAGACCCATGAACAGCAGTGAGCTCTGATCGATGAAATGTATGTCTACGGGACATGAATAGATCTCTTGGGGTTTTGATTTCTGCCTCTACATAAATGAAAAAAGACTGGACTCTGAAAGTACCGATGGAAGATTTCTTCAGTAAGTCTGTGTTCCTGGCTACGGTGAAACTGTTGACAGTAGGTCTGAATGCCAAGTATCCACACCCAGAGGTAACAGCTCTGATATAGGATCAGACGGAAAAAACAAGTATTTGTTTCATCAAGACAAGTTTTTCTCCTGAAATCTCTTAAAAATACAAACCTTCTTGTATTTAAAAAAAAAAGTTAGTGTTTTTTTAAAAACCTTTAAAAATAACATTTCAAAAGTTAATCTTGTCTGCAAAAGGTGAGAGGTGATAGATTGAGCCCAGAGGACTCAATATAAACAGTAATGATGGATAAGTTTCCATAAATTGACAAAGAAGTTTCACAATACATTAGCTTTGCCCAATTGCTGGCAGCATTTCTGCTTAATGGAGGGCGAGTGCATTTAAGTGTGAGGATTATTTATGTAAATTTACACTATTACAGTTCTAAGTATTTTAACATACTCTTTC